AAATAAAGCATTAAATAACATATAAATATTATGAAAATAATAAATATATATATAAAAATTTTGAAAAGAAAGAATTAAAAATTAAATATATGAATTTTTAATTTTCTAATTGATAGAGACAATTAATAATTGGTTTTAAAGTTTGACCAGTCCCCAGCGGAGTCGCCAAGCTGTCGTAACCATTTTTCGTCTGGGCACGAATTTTTTATTTGGCGGGAAAAGTGATGTGAATAAATGGTTTTTAAAATAATTTGGGAGTCGCCATCGGCCTTTTGGGTCAGGTAGGTCGAATACCTAAAAAAATTATCTTTTAAAAGAGTTTTTAAGAAAACATCAGTTAAAAGATAAACCTATCTGCGTTTTAACCAAAAATTCATTCTTTTTAGAAATAAAAATGGATTCGTGGTCGGTTACGTTTAGGGAAGGATTAGCACCCCTACAACGCCCAAAATTGGTACTTTTTAATTATAAATTGTCTCTATTATTAGAAATTTAAAAATTCAGCACAAGGTTCTTAACCTTGAGGTCGTGGGGATCGAGTCCCACGGAGGGCATTTCATAATTCAGAGGTCTCTTACTAAAGCTGCTCTCAACTTGGTGTTGGGGGTAGCCTACTATCTTACCTCCCCCTTACCCCATACATATGGGAAAAAGGGACAACCATTTTTTAAAATATATTTAATTTATAATCATATTTAATTCAAATATTTTTAAGAAAATATATTAAACATAAATAAGATATTTACTTATTTAGAAATATCAGAAAAAGACTTCTAGGTGCCTTAAGACAGCTCTTTTCTTTGATATTAATAAATATTATAATAATTTAAATAAAATAAAATTATAATTTTTTTATCATAATATTTAATTTTAAAATACCAGAATAGGACATCCAGTTGTATTAAGACTGCCCTTTTCTTTGATATTGAAAAATAAATATATATTAAAATATGATAAAAACATAATTTATGTAAAATCAAATTAAGATTTAATATAAATTATTATTTATTATATATATTTATATGACTATATAATAAAAATAATATTTAAATATAAACAAGTAAAATTAAAACATAAATAAACAATAATAAAAATAAATTTAGAACTATATATTTAAAAGCAGTAAAACTTTATAATAAATGAAAATATTTAAAATTAGTGACTAAATTATAATCTAATAAAATTAAATACCTAATTCGTAATTAATTATTTAAAATTATAGGGATTAAACATGCTATTTTTTCCTTATTTATTAATTTGGTGACTAAAATAAAATTATATAAAATTCATATATCAGATTAAAAAAATGTACTCGGGATTAAAATATCAATTATTAAAATTAAAGGACTAAATATGATATTTATCCTAAATATATTATTTTAAAATAAAGGACTAAAATAAATAAAATTAAAATTAAAGAACTAAATTAAAAGGATTATAAATTGATTTAGTGACTAAAATGTAAGGATTACAAATTAGGATGGCTGCGGAAAGGGTTTAACCTTTAGTTAATTACAGACAAATCCCTCCCCAAAATGGCGTCGTTTGGGGAGGGCTATTTAAGCCCTTAACCGACTGGCCCGAAGGGCTAGCTCTCATTTCTTCCTTTCTCTTCTCTCTCAAACAGAGAGAGAGAGCCAGAGTTTGCTCTGGCTTCTCTCTAAAATGAGAGAAAGCCGTCCTGGTCAGCCACCGCTGCCGGGCTCCGACCACCGCTGTCGGCCACCGTTAATGGTGGCCGGAAATTACAAAAATACACCAAAATATAGATCGGGACGATCTAAAACCGTTTTCGGTGTTCTTTTTCCTTAAAAAGCTCCCAATCGGAGCAAATCTACGAAAGTACCTTCGGGTTTTGGTTGTTTCCGGCAACGTTTGGTATCTCGAGGGTAAGTTCTTCTCTTCTCTGTTTTTATTTTCGATTGTTGATGCTTGATGTGTTCTCGTTGCTTTTCTTACGTAGTTGTCTGGGATCGTTGGTGTAGTTCTTGCTTTTGTTTTTCTCCTCCCTCCTCCTTTGTGGCTGTGTTTTTTTCTCGCAGGTGTAGTGGTGGCTTTATAGCCTTGATGAGACTGTCGTCGGACCGGTCCCGAGAGGGAAGCTTTGGTGAGTCACCGAACTATGTGGTGACTCACCCCATAGCTGCGACATGGACGGTCAGAGTCGTGGCAGCAGAGCTTCTGGAATGTTCGTAGGAGGCGTCGTGGCAGTACTGAAGCGTCGGCAACGGCGGGATGAGACACCTGGAAGAGGTGGCGCCGCGCGGTCCCTAGGGTTATGATACCCTAGGGTTTCAAGCTGGAAGCATTTGGAGACCGTTGGATCAAGGCCAGATCCAACGGTGGTGAGCTAAGGCGGCTGGGAGAAGATTCTGAAAACCCTAGAAGGGTTTTGGGTCATGTTTAGGCCTGGATGTAACCGGGTTGTAAATGGGCTTTGTAATATTTAATAAATAATATATAATTATAATTATAATAATAATAATAATAAACTTAAATGAAAAAATTGATGTCTACACTGTTCAAAAGTTGAATTGCCACGGTTCTGCAATGAAGAAAAAGCTTATGGGTCCGTCGGTTGTATTCAAACGCTCCATTAACATTAAAACCAGAAGGATGACTGAAAATCGTTAAACGTACCATGTTCACGATCACGGAGTTCGAATCCAAACAGTTCTCAACAGAGAATAACTAAAAAAAGCTAATAAAGTGGAAAAACAAGTCATTAAATCTAGGAGATAAGTGATACATAAAGAAAAAACGAAAAAGGGTTCCAAAAACTAGCTTTACAATCAAACCAAAACTACCTTTGTTTTTGCTTTGACAAGGAATTGCAAAATTTTGTGTTTCTCTTGATGACTACGGCACCTTATATAGTTTTCTCGAGAGAATGTAAGTCGGTTACCTTTTGTTTCCAACGATAATACCTTAATTAATTCTGGACAAAATTAATTATTAATTGAAAAAGTAAAATATTAATTTAATTTAAAATAAATATAAACAAATTTAATTGATATATATATATATTTTTAATTAATCACAGATATTCAATCTATTTACCTACTCAACTATATATATTCTTTAATTGACAACTATTAGTTTTATTTTTATTGATATTTGTTCTTTAATTATAACGATAATAAAAGATTATTTATGATAATATTGTTTTTAGAATATATTATTTTGAAATTAATTTTAAATCTTTAAAGATTTTAATTAAAATTTTAAATTATTATTTAAATATTTTTATTAAGTTAACCATTAATTAAAATATTAAATATTAATTTAAATATGATATAATAGATATTTAAGATTTGTAATTATTTTTTGATAAAAAAAACTTTACAAAAGTTTTGTAAATTAATTTTTAAACATTATACCGATAACTTGAATACATCATGTTAAAAAAATAACCATAATCTAAGTTTTCTCTTAATATTATTTTGTATCACCTTCCTTTTTCTCTTTTGATTTATATATAGTCAGCAGAGGTATTAATTTTAATATTATTTTTTGGCCCCTAGTGATAATTATTTTTCTTCTTATTATTCATAATATCTCTTTTTTCCTTGATTTTTTTAATTTTAAATAAAAATATGACTTTTTGCATATTTTTCTCTGCTTTTGTGGCACGCTTTTTCTCTGCTCTTGTGGCACGTTTCTTATGGCTTTTGGTAAGTTTTTCGCATACTTCCGCGATCGTGTTGATGCTTATACAAAGATCCTCACTATATTGTTTTCTGATTGATTTGTCGATGGTCACGTATTGTCAGATCTCCTCTTTGGTAAAAGGTTATTTGTTGATATAATCAAAATTTTGTAGTGAAACAGACTGCCAAATTATTTGGTTTGCTCACCACTATTTTATCATTTCATAAAGCGTCTCGTTCGACAGAGATAAGGAGTTTTATTAAAGTTATTGAGTAATTTTGATGTTGAACATCATCCTCAATAGAAGGTTTTGGTTTTTTTAGTATCTTTAAGTTTAATATTTTTATTTTATGTATGATTTTGTGTGATTATTGTCTTTAATTTTCTCTTTGATTACGTTGTAATGTTAGTTTCTTTTATTATTTTCATTAATGAAATTTAGTTCTTATTGTTAAAAAAAAGGAAATAATCTTATTTTTTATTTTAATAATATGATTTATGTTTTACAAGTCAGATTCATGTATTTTTAATAATATGTTAATTTTATTTGATTTTAATGATACGTCCGCACATGTTTGTAATTGACTTATATATTTTTAATATATTTTAAGTCAAACCGCAATCACTAAATTATATATATATATAGAAGTTAAAAAAAAAGATGGATTGAGTTTATAAAAAAATGGATTGAGGGTGGCAATTGAGGACGACAACCCTTACTCTTATATATTTTCTTTATATTTTTTATTCATAATTTATTTTTGTCCTAAAATTTTATATATTCATTCTATCTTTAAAATTTTATAAGTTGTATTCAAAAATTAAATTTTACATCCAAGTATGGATCAAGGAGACGAGTAGAGGAAGTCCCCTAAAAAATTTAAAATTATTATATATTTTAAATTTTTTATATATTTTTTATTAAAAATTTATTTCGTCCCTTCTTATAATTTTAATTCGCCCTTTTAAGTCCCATAACATAAAATCATGCATCTTGTTTACTGCATGCGTCCATTTTTATAAGTTTTGATATATCTTTCTATCCCATTGAATCATCGACTGACAGATTCATTGTGTAATGTTTTGGCATACATCAAGCTGCGATGAAGCATAAATCACGCTTTTGTTTCCCGACCATCACCGGAAAGCTGAAACTGAAGAATCATACAACCCAAAAATTTTCTGCAAATGACCACTTCCATGGATTAATATCTTGAACTAACGCAATACACTACAAAAAGATGGGATGCCCCACATGGATGATGATGGATCACCCAACTGACAGGGAAAACAAACTATTTGATTACACATCTCAATATGAAAGCCAGCAAGCATATATCTATTCAAACGATGCGTATGCGCGCATGAACTCGAGAATTATAGCTTCGCCCATAGTTTGAAGTAATCCTTTCAAAAGGAATATATTGGTCACGATCTCGGTTATTGCCGATATCCCAGTTGAGGATTCTATGTAGGTACCCAACACGAAGAACCATAAAGAATCCTTCCCTTCCATCCCTGCAACATCCAGTTGTTGTCTTCATCGATTACGAAATCTTTGTGGTACCAAACCTTCCACTTATTCCTAACTATATATTTCCTGGTCCAACGAAAGCGGCTTGAATCCTGCCCTTATCGTACGAATCTGCCATTGCTTATATGTTTCCGGCCTCTGAACCCTTGCCGAGCCCTCACATGCTATAACATTCATTGCCTCCCGCCCGTAAAACTCCCTCTCAAGCATCTACCTTGCAGGCTCTTCACTAGGTAATGTATTTTCGAATACATCAAATATAGCATAGATTTGAAAGAGAGCCTCCTTGAACCTTGTAACAAAGAAGGAAGCATTCACTACAGCAAAATTATTCTACAGCGGCGTTTTTAGCGGCGTTTTGGGAGTAAACACCACGAATTTTAAACATATTGCGGCGTTTACATTTTACATAGCAAATGCCAGAAAATGGTAACTTTTGCGGCGTTTTTCTTAAAAAGGCCGCTATAGAGTAGTACTTTAGCGGCGTTTGTATACAAACGCCGTAATAGGTTCATTTATAGTGGTGTTTTTTCAACAAACGCCGCAATAGAGTAGTACTTTAGTGGCGTTTTTGTACAAACGCCGCTATAGACTCGTACTTTAGTGGCGTTTTTATACAAACGTTGCTATACAATTGTACTTTAGTGGCATTTGTGTTTATAAACCCCGCTATACACTTGTACTTTAGTGGCGTTTATATACAAACGCCGCTATACACTGGTACTTTGGTGGCGTTTTTATATAAACACCGCTATATAATTGTACTTTAGTGGCGTTTATATACATACGCCACTATAGACTCGTACTTTAGTGGCGTTTGTATTTATAAACGCCGCAAATTTATAATTTTTAAGTGTGCGCCCTTTAACCTGTTTTTCATTTTCCCCCTTCACCCATTTTTTAATCCCGCCTTTTACCCAAACCCATCTGCTTCACTACCAAACCCATCTGCGTCACTGCCATTTTTTACGCTATCTCTGATTTTGATTCCCTTATCCACATTTCCCCCAACTTTCAAATCCTCGTTTTTATTCTGCGAAATTTATCGTTAACACCGTCACCAGTCGTTGCTGTTCTTTTGATTTTGATTTCGTGGCTTTGGGTTTTTCTTTGGACTTTGCTTTTATCAGTGCAAGGTCGCCCTTTGCTTTGTTGCTTATTTCTCACTGCTATAAATAACGACTCTCTTTGCTCGTTTCTTTTTCCATTTCCATTTAGTTTCAAAGAAGGTAGAATCAGGAGAGAAAAATGAAGTATGTGCTTGTTCACCCCCACCGAATCGGTTATGAGCGCATCTTCTACAATGAGTTCTGCTTAAGCGGTCTTCGTGTCGACAGGGTCGAGTCTGGTTTTGTTTCCTGCACTTTCAAAGTCCCTCCTCGCCTCATCGTAAGTTGTCCCCAATAAAACCCTATCTCAAATTCCTTGGAATTAGAATTCTATCAGGTTTGGCCTCATTTCTTTCAATAAAGTAGTATCGTTTTGTTCCAAAAAAGAATAGAAGAAAATGAAGCGTCGGATCTCTCTTTCAAAACTAGTACGATGATCCTTATCTAGTAATGAGCAAACTGATTAGATTGTTTCAGTTGGGGTTTTCATAGTTGGAATCTTATCTAGTAAGACTAAAACTTCAAATAGAACATTATGGATGTTGGCTTTTGAATTATCAGCTTGTTGTCCATCTTTCAGCATTATGCATATTTACCTGTTCATACTTATTGCTTGACAATGCCACTTTGTTATAATTTCGTATTCTTGATGATGCAAAGCTCTGTAGAGAAGGAGAGAGCTTACTACGCATCTATGATCTATATAAATAAACATGCTTATTTTTCAACATTCAAATTTTCATGGAATTTGGCAGTTCTCATGTTGCATGATATTACAAGCATTGATAATAGTAGTAGCACAAAATTTTGATCAATGATTTTTCTTTTCTGCAGCATTATTCTTTTACATGGGCCTCCAGGGACAGGAAAGACATCTTTATGCAAAGCACTGGCACAAAAATTATCCATTAGATTCAGCTCCAGGTCTTTTGTTAATTTATGTGCCCAAAGCATATATCACTTTACGACCTTATACATTATCTTGTGAGATGGTTAGTTCTAGCTGATTTTATTTTTGACTTACCATTCTTTATTCAGATATCCACAGTGCCAATTAATCGAAGTTAATGCACATTCATTGTTTAGTAAATGGTTCTCTGAGAGTGACAAGTTGGTATGTTTCTGTATCAATTTTTTGAACTTATGACAAAAGTATCATGACGTCCTGGATGTTAATGGTATGTAGTTTACATTCTTAACTCTGTTCCTAAACTTTAAGTTGCAAAGCTTTTCCAAAAAATTCAAGAAATGGTGGAGGAAGAACACAATATGGTAATTGGTGAGTCTTTTATTACCGAAGTTAGGGTTTCGATCATTTATGGTCTTTCTAGCTTATGCCTCTTTAGATATATGTTGCTGCTGCTACCACAAATGAAGTTGAAAGTCTTGTTGCTGCTAGAAATGCTGCTTTGTCTGGTTCTGAACCTTCAGATTCCATTTGGGTAACAGTTTTGTGCAAGCAATTAAACTTCTTTATATTTTTTCTCTTAAATGCACATCTTTATGTGAGTATATTTACCTCAACTTTAGACCGGATACAACTTGAAAATGTACCTCAGGTTGTAAATGCGCTATTAACTCAGATGGATAATCTGAAATTAGCTCCCAATGTTATAATTATGACTACGTCCAATATAACTATTGCTATTGGTAAGCCTATAATCCATTTCACATTGGTTCGTTATTCTGAAATGTATGGTATTTACATGGTAATTTGCCATTATCTCCTTGTGGATTCAGTATTGGAATCTTCAACTGTTATAAACTTTTATCAGTCCTCTCATTTAACGTACTGAGGGATATTTTACATTTTTCATATTTACCGATGGCACCAGTCCTGAAATATTAGGCTGGAGAAGAATCCACCCTTTTGGAATGTATAAATTTACTACTAGCGTTGCAGATATTGCATTTGTTAACAGAGCCGATATAAAAGCATATGTGGGTCCTTCAACTCTTCAAGCTCGTTACGAAATTTTAAGATCCTGCTTGCAGGAGCTTATGCGAACAGGAATTATATCAAATATCAAGGTAAGAATGCAAAACAATGCCTAAGGCCTCCATTTTTCGATCTCTTCACTTAATGCCAAGTCGAATACGGATCTCTTTAGGGTTCAAGCCAATACATCCTTACAGACTATGCTACTTTGAAAGAGAAACTAAATATAGATGAGAATCAGGAGGTTCAAACAACTATTCACCTGTGTAAGCAATTATATGTTGAATGCACCTCATCAGCAATTCATGCACTAGCCTCATTCAGGAAATTATATCCTGAACATAGAACATAAGAAATTCAAAATTGTATTGGTAGAGCTGTTGGGTTTATCGAAAAGATGCAGGCAGAAGATGGCTCCTTGTTCGTTTAGAACTATTCCATAATTTATATCTTTTACGTGTTTACTTTGTAATTATTTGTCTTTACAAATTCTGCTACTTCGAGCAATTCTTCAACATGGCAATCTCAATATCCATTGTTGAAGAACTTGATTTGTGCTGTCATTTTTTGCTAGGTATGGATCTTGGGGCATCTGCTTCAGTTATGCAGGATTCATTTACTTATAAGAAGGAGATGTAAAGCAAGAAGTTTGATACTTGATTTTAGGAATTTACTAATTTAAATATTGATTCTTTATCCTTATGAATTTATATTAGAATATTTATTTTTCTTAAATATTTTTTTATTTCCTTATTCAATAATCCTAATTTATGGTCACAAAGATTATAAAAGCATTAACCATTTTTCAAGTACGGACTCATCGCGGCTATTACAGGAACTGCTGGCTATGCTGGTTATCTCTCTTACAGTTGGTCTTTTGTTTCTTTTGATTATGATTGAGTCATTTGTGATTTAATTTATATTACAATTTAAATGTGGGTTTTTAATATGATTAAAAATGTATATATTTTTAAAAAAAAAATTAATTCGTTCTGCATAGTGTTCGTACGAGGAAGTAGATCAGAAGGCAAAGGCATTGCAGGCTGCTGCAAGTTTTGCTCCTAGTGAAGATGCATCTATTGTTGATGTATGTTTGAGTTTGTTTGGAATTTTATCATTTTTAAATGAATTTTCTCATTTTAGCTTAGTATTTGAATAATGTTGTTCTAATTGTTCAATCTTTTTTAGTAAAATTACCTTTACAAGAAGTTGTTCTAATTGTTTACCATTTAATTCTTCGATTTGAATTTTGTAGGAATGATCTTATGGATGGATTACTGGAGAGGCTTTAAGTAGCAAATTTTTGGTTGTTGGTCTTAAGGACATTCATATATCATGTGTTTCTTAATGTTGGTAGGACTTTTTTGTGTTTTAATCAACTGTCCTAAACCTTCTCTTACTTAAGCAGCATTTTGGTGTATAAACTTATGTAACATCTAGCTCGATGTTTTAGTACCCACCGAAGATTTATTTATTTAACTTGGATGTTTGTAAATTTTTATGTATTCTTAATTAGCATCGTAATGAAATTTAAGATGGTTATTGGATATTGTTATAGGTTCAATTTGGGTAATACAAAATTGGAAGAAGATATGTTGAAAATCAGTTTCGATTAGCGGCGTTTTAGGGGAAAACGCCACTAACAGAGTGCTAGATCTGACCTTTTGCGACATTTGTATCTAAAAACACCGCCATAGATCTGACCTTTTACAGCGTTTGTACCAAAAATGCCACTATAGATTTGATCTTTTGCGGCGTTTGTATCCAAAAACGCCGCTATAGAACTGACCTTTTGCGACGTTTGTATCAAAAAATGCCGCTATAGATCTAACCTTTTGCGGCGTTTCTATCCAAAAACGCCGCTATAGATATGACCTTTTGCAAAAAAGCCACTATAGATCTAACCTTTTGCGGTGTTTGTTCTAAAAACGCTGCTATAGATATGACATTTTACGGCGTTTG